CTACCTGGGGAACCTGGGAGGCTGCGTCTTCTACCTGGTCATCTCCTGTTGCCGCCGCGACTGGCACTGGTGCTTGGTCTTCTCCTGTGGCTGCTGCTTCGACTGGCGTCTGGTCCTACTCTGGGTAAGCACTTCGGCCATTTCTGGCTCTCTATCGAAGTTTTTGGAACGTGCAAGGCTAACCGATTGAACAGCTCTTCCACCCCTGTCGCTCCTGCGGTCGCTACGTTCACTGGTGCTGCCAATGCCAACGCAGGTTCATTTGCTCTTGCTGGTCTCGCTGCCGCCGCCGTTTTGGTTATGGCATAAACGCGTTTGATCTTATGAGGGGCTTTCGAACATTTTTCTGTCACGATCCACATGGCCATTGCATTTGCAGGAGCAGCAAAGAAATCCTGCTTGGTATCAGAGAACAAAGCAGCATGTCTGGGGAGGTCGTCTATAGGGGAGAGCAGCGAGTGTTTCTGTAATAGTTGCAAGTGTGCATGGGGTAGTTAGTAGCATGATTTGAAGATGGTCCCTTCTTTGCACATTACCTTTGTACGCAGCAAGGAGGTGCTGGCTTGACCACTGTAGCTAGCATTGCGTAATACCTGTTCATCGGATCTTCGGCTTACTCTTTGTCGCCCATGTCTTACCAGCCTTTAGGATCTGTTCTTCCGCTGCAACCGTTAATGGCTTGAAGTTTGTGCAGAATATGGAGGGCAGAGGACTCGGTCCTCATCGGACCTAGAAACGAGGAAGAGTGGAGACGGGAGGGTATGAAACGCGGTGGATGTCTGGGAAATTGGATGTGGCCGGATTTAGAATCTCACCAAAACGCCACTTCATCCTCTTCCTCGCCTTCCCCCATATACGGATCATCTGTCACATCTTTATTCCTTCACGAAACGAAACACCACAGATAAGGCTGCCTTGGCATTACTCAATAGCAACATCGAGGCTGCTTCCAATTGGGGAGGAAAGATTGCGCCCAAACAGGGTTTTGTGATTGCCCATACCAAATAGCAATCTCGCCTGGACCTGAAGTCTGTGACATATTCCCACGTGGCAATCTCGTGGTGCTTGTGTTTCTCCCCAGACTGATGATCACATTGTATTTTGAATTTGTGGGGGAAAGTGAAAAGGAAAAGAAACAGGCAGTGGCTGATTCGATGACCAGACAATTTCACCCCGACAATTTGGCAACGTTGAATGGAAAAAGTATATGATCGGCTCTCTCCTCGTTTTAGTTGCTTCACCGTCCAAGCTCTCTCCATGATGACAGGCTCAACATCTATTGACGGGGCGCCAGGTGTAACCCAAGCAAGGACCGATGTCCTGGACGGACCCCGAGCAACACGGCGTCCAGATTTCATACAGGATCTTCCTGCAGGCTTCATCAACCTCCTGCGGAAGGAAGCAGTCTATCCGGTGCAATGTCTGCCGGTCTTCGACGGCGTATGATTGTCCCGCATTTCCACCACCTCTGAGCCAGATCGAGAGTCCCGCTACTCTGAGGCTCCTGAGGCATTCCGCCGAGGCTCCCATCGCCCCAAAGGCCTGAGACGCTCGACTCTTTGGACCCCAACAGGGCCGTTTTTGATCGACAGACTTGGGGCTATTAGTTGAAGCTCGCGGGTTGGCCATGTGAAGGCTTGAGGCTTACGCCGCCCCCAGCTCGTCAGCTCTAACTTCTTGCGGCAAGTTTTCATAAGACTTCTTTTGCGAAGGAAGCACTTCGTTTTCCTTTGTATTGCACCGTGAACAGAGGGACGTTCGGACCGCGAAGAGCCTCCCGTCCACGGCCTCGACCAGCGGGACAATCTTCCTTCGCGGGTTTTCATTATCTTTTGAAATCACACCGGCATGGATGTTGGCTTTGATGTTGGGCTAGGTGGCAATTCGCGAGCTCGTGGCAGTGGAACTGGAATTGCAACAGGAATTGCACCACAGCCAACAAGGTTCCCTTAGCCTGCCTCGCTGGCAAAAGGGTATCCTTCACTGCGCCCGCGACATGTTGGCCCCCTCTACTATGATTATTCTGAAGCTTACCGCTTACTCGCAGTTGTTCCCCGCGCCATTTGTTGGCGTGGCACCTTGGTGCAAGTCTGACGACGTGTAGGCCGTCGATTACAAAACGGAGTGTGATCGCTGAAACTTACCTCGTTGCGCGCTCGACTTCATCACGATTTAGTCTCTCAAATTCGTTAACTAATATGTCGCCTATCGCCATGGCCTGACGGCAGGCCGTGTTCAACTTCGTCCTTCTCGGATGACTTTCGTCAAGCACCAACGGAACCACGAGGAGGAACCTTGAAAGATCATTATCGTACTTGCGATAATCTCACTACTTCGCCCACCTAGGTAGTGAATGATCCTCAGACTGGACTAGCCATGATGAGTTCCCCGAGCAATAATGTCTTCGGTCACGTTCGAACAAAGCTACGACAGTCTCGCTCCAGCGTGGCGCTGACGACCTCGACACCCTCTCAATTCGAGTATACCGATTGGGGAAATGTTCCGATGGCATTTCAGCCGGTCCAGAGGGCAGAGGTTCGAGTTGTGCATGGCTACTACTTGGATCGACCTCTTCCGGGACCCCCTCCACGCCCCCGAACAGCATCTCCGGCTCCAGCCTTCGAGCCCCGGGCCAGTATGGATATGGGGAATCTCAGAAATCCCACTCCTCGGACACACCGCACCAGATCGGCTGAAATAGCGCAGAGGCACTGGTCAGGTTTTGATGATCATGAGACGATCACTCAAAACAAGAGGGCAAGTGTCAACATTGCCATCGCCCTCCCACCAGACCATCTCGATCCTCCTCCACCGTACTCTCGCTTTCCCTCTCCGTCATCCACGCGGTCTGAATATCGGTCAAGTCCACAACCTCCGCGTGTTCACGAACAGCCGTTCATCAAGCCATACGATCCAATCGACTATGTCAGTCAACCAAGTCAGATTACGAGACGGCCGCCAGAGGATATACCCACCATAGCTGCTCCGGAACCGCCCACTCCGGTTTCTCCTCTTAACGCCCTGGATTTGCAGTACTTGGCTATGAGACATCCTCCAGCCCCCGATGGTAACGTTACCATCGAGGGCCTATTGGGTCACCCTATGCTGCAACATAGGTGACCTTCTAGACCCTGGCATTCTAGCGAGTGTGGTCCGCAACGAATCCAGACACCTTCGATAATTAGGCAGGATTGGTAGGCGCTAATTTCAACCGAGAAACCAGACTCGGATCAAGGCCACCATGCAGAGGATCTTCGGCGGGGACATGCATGCTCGGACCATGGTCGAACCGGGTCCCAGGTCCCCGCGCGCATGTCTGGGGGAGGCAGGAGGAAGGACGCCTTTTCCCGGCCACTATGATCGCGATTTGATGGAATGTGACGCGCGAGGAGAAGCCCCTTCACACCGCGGTTGTGGGATGCGTTACAAGGAATCATTGCTTTATATGACGCCCACCGCCACAGGCAAGTCTGATTTCAATCACCATTTTTCGCTCATTAGTTCTTTCCAAACACTCCTTTGACTTTCCACGTCTTCCAATACGTCGCTATTTTGTTTCCAGCAAAACATTCTTTTCACTATCGCGTAACAAGCATTCACTCATTAGCTAATTTGAATGGCGCCGATCCCTTCTCTCGGGGCAATTACCGACATGAATACCTTCAGCACCTCGTCTCGCCAGCTTGTCTCTCGCGCTCTTCCTTCCAAGTTTCTCGTTGCTGCAATTGTCTTTCACTCAGTAATCTCAGCCCTGCTACTCGCCAGCATAGTCTTCTTGTTGGTCAGAATCTGGAAACAAGTGATGGCCGAGAGAAACACTTCGCCTCCATCCGTGGCGCCTAAGGCCCACGGGGCCGTCTCTGAGCGCAAGCAGAGTGACTGGGCCAGGAAAAATAGTAACGTGCTCTGGTCTATGTATATCGAAGAGGACGACCTTAAAGCTCAATTCGCCGTGTCACCAAAGTCAAGGCTTTTCTCCATTGGATCTGTCTCCACCGTTGATCAGGGAAGTTGTCCCCTGGATCGTCGACATTACCACGCCAACCCACTGGGCCAGCACAAGATCGTCGAGGAAATGAGCCCAAAGACAGAGGAGTCCACTGCCGACCTACGCAGCCGAACACCTTACGAACACCAGACCACCCCAACAAAGAATGTCCCTCGTGCGCGAGCCTTGTCTCAACCTTGCTGCCACAAGTATAGCAGTTCAATCGAGGAGCTGGCAAAATGCAAAGCGTACCCTCGCGGATCTCTGAAGAGGTTATGGAAGGATACAAGTACTATGGAGGGCCATGAGTGCAAGATTCGGAAGGGCTTCTGCAGATATGTGGTCACGATGGTTGAATAGAAGCTGGATTAGGACCATTTTCCCTTTAGGACGCTCACCACTTTCTGTATCTCTGCGTTCTCGACCAAGACCTGTTCAATTCAACCGGCACTTCATCGTATTCTGCTCCGGTGACGTCTCGGACGATCTCGTGAAAGCCCAGGTCACGTGTTACCAGCCTTCTCGCATCCCTGTTAAGGTCCTCAAAATTCTTGCTTCGTCTCTATTCGTCCCTCCACCAATTGCTTCACACAAGACATTCCGTTCTAGACACCCACTGTACCTTGCAGGAATGTCTTGCGCCAATGATGCTGATGGGTTTGTCTGCATGCGACCCCGATTCACCAGGGCAGGACGGATTGCCACGCCCATATCGGGGATCCAGCGCTGGGAGCTTCAAGAGGCTGATGACGAGATGACGGATCCTCTCCATCGCTGTCGACCGCTGTGCATAAGAGACAAGTTTGCCTTATTGTCCTCATTGTCCTCATGTCTCCTTCCCATTCAAACTTCGAGGGAGATTGCCCGGCTCACTTTCCCATCCATTGTTGTTTGGAAGGAGCTTTCGCGACCAGCGTTGGAACCCCGGTAAACATCTTGCCTTTCGGCTTGTCTTGACCTTCTTGTCCTCGTTTTCATTTCTATCCTGCTCTACTTGGAACAGGCTCCGAAAATGCTTCTCAACGCCTCGCACAAGCTCAGCTTCAGCGGTCTTCCCCCCGATCTGCTCGATGCCTATGTGCGGTACAAGAAAAACACACGGGCTCTGTTGACTTGGTTCCTCCAGCACAGTCCAGCGCCACCCAAACCAGTCAAGAGCTTAACCATCAAGGAACTTGAGTCTATGGCTCAAGCGGTGTCCAAGAAGCTTCGTTCTCTGCCCGATGTTGTTCATTTCTACTTCCGAGAGACGATTGCAGATCGGAAGAGGTTCAGCAAGTACTACCGTACCCAGATCGATGGTTCTGCTGGGGAGCTCAACACGATCAATCACGAACATTTCACGGACACGCAAGTCTCGAGTGGCTGACAAGATGATCCAAACGCTGACACATTGCGCAGTCTCGCAAAAATCTACGACGATCTCTGCGTTTGTTGTGGTGGCCTCAAGTCGCAGCACCGCAAATCGTCATCCTCATCTCCAGTCTGCCCTTCACTCCGTCCAGTCAACCAGTACGAGGGCTTGACAGTCGAGGAAGCCGAGGACTATGAAGGGCAGAACACTGGGAAAATTGCAGCTCCGGGCGGGTCCAAGCCCACCACGCCACCGCCATCGTCGACTGGCGGCCAAGGTTTGGACATACATCTGGCAGATGACGAACTCGGCAGGGCCCTCGAACTGGCAGCCGCCGCGCAAGTAGGTCATCCTCGAGTGGCACGAACATCCTGCTAACGAAGCTAGCAAATCCACGACATCTCCTCCTCCGTCGACCTTTATTGGCAGCTTGCTGGAAAGGGCCAAATCTCGGTCGCAGTCGCATCTTTCATCACCAATGTCGCTCTTGCATCACTACGCCAGGTTGTTAACGAGTTGCTTCAGCATGATGAAGACTTTTGCTTTTCAGACTTGCATGATATATGCTCCTTCGATCACGCGGCGAGTCCAATTGAAGTCGGCACTAAAAAGCTCATGTGCACCAACCAAGCCCTGTTGGGTCGATTGCAACAAATCGAACAAACCCTGTCGGACCTGTCGAATGGTCCCTTGCCTTTTGGTGCCCCATCTTGCGCCAGGTGTGGTCTCAAAGAGGCACAAGAAGCCCAGGCAAAAGTCATCAAGGACAACGCCAACAGCCAATACCTCTCGTCAGCCATCATCGAGAAGATTGTCGACTTGGTACATAGCAAAGCGGCAACAGTGGAGATTATCAAGGCCAGCACTCCCGTCTGTTTGGATCTAGGCGATATCATTACGGACCCGAAGAATAATACGAAGACTTGGTCGGCTGTTCTGGGATTGAACCTCCTAACCCAAAGTTACGGGGCCTTTCTTCGATCCCTTCCGAAGCCACAAATGGCATCACAAGGTCGTATCATGGCACTGAAACTTGCACACCAGGCTCGCTCTCAGGTTACGACAGTTTTGAGCAACAAGACGGCCTTTCCCTGCCGCTGTCCTCAGACTCTTGGCTGCCACCTACAAAACCTGGAAACCAACCTGCAGGAGTATGCAAGCCACAACTGCTGGGACCTGGTTTTCCAATCGCCATGGGTCGCTGGGAATCACGTCCTCGAAATATTGGACCTGTGCCATTACTATGGGCTGCACTTACTCAAATATCGGCATTACGTGGGGGCGGTGCTGCATTCTTACAACGTTCTCAGGCAACTAGGCGGGCTAGAGGAAAACTCGACGCTGGAAAAACTATGCTCTCAACTTCGCGATGTCTTGTTCCCTGCTTCCAATCCGCCAAAGTCAAACTTTCGCGCTTGCTGGGCTAGACACGTGGGTGCCAGGTTGAAATTCGAAAAGGGTCACAAAGGCAAGAGCAAACATGACAATTGGTGTCTCGCTATCCCTGCGCACGCGGCGAAGGCGGCGGCTGGATTTGACATTCCCAACCACCAACAGAAGGTCGGATCGGGCTGCGTGGTGTTCCACATTAAGCACAAGAATTACCACGTCAGTGATGATCAATTGAAGAACCTTAGTGCCCCCCTTGAGCGCCTCCGGCAAACGCGGGGAGAAATGGAAGCAAAACTTGTGTGCAAGAGTGACTTACCGATAATTGAACCGGCCATGCAGAATCCAAGACTTCTCCCGCTTGTTCTGGCGACTCACGGGGTATTGACCAATGGTGTTCGCGGATTCTTTCCTATGGCTCGGCTGAACCTCTTTGCGGTGTTTGAGCGATGCCTCCGTGTGGTCTTACTGGTCTCGGACAAGATGCATACTGACAATGAGGCTGAAAAGGGAATTGCTTGCATCTGCTTCTGCACTGAAATTTTCATCGCCGCGGATCGTATTGTTAAGGGCAGACGGCTGGGCAAGCTTGAAGCATGGAAAGAACACGAGCGCAAGCTTGTTGAGGACACGAAAGAAGCAATCCAAACAGTCTTTGGGGGCATCTCAGAGGATGAGTTGTTGTGGAATGCCTGAGGTCCGTGCTCATAAGCCTGGTAGGCAGAGACTGGACTTCCGTGTGTCGCAGGCGGCGAAGCACCGGTGCAACGAGTTGGGAGGGCTTTTCAAAGAGCAGGCGGATGATTGTTACTGTAGTCCGGCGTGGTCTTTTTCCTTTCGGTTTTGGAAGGGGTCAACGGGACGGGAGAGCAAGGCAATCATGGTCACACCTCAAGAGGTCGTTTGTCGCCAGTCGCTATGGAATACGCAAACACAGATCTTACTATTACAATCTGCCTTCCTTGCTGATCGGGAGGGTCACCCTTCCACAGACTTCAATCCCGCATCGTCCGTCGACATGATAACCGAATTGAACTTGTCCGATGTGGGCAGTTCAATATGGACGTTGTTCACTGTAGCAATGCCCACATTTACCTCGCGCGCCTGCAGTTCAAGAACATGGCCTCCAATCTTCTTCTCTTTGTCGATGAAATGCATATGCTCGCCAGCAACGAAAAAGCCTTGCCACGCGACCGGCGAGCGGAATCCCACAATGGTGCCCTCGACGTCGTGGTACTCTGCCACAAACTGCTTCTTGCCCAGCTCGCTCAGCGGCTGCCCGTCGTATTCTTGGCCCTTTACCGTGCGACACTTCAACCGCTGGAACACGCCCTCGACCCGGTACGACATGAACAAATTACTCGCGTGGTCATTGAACTCCTCGAGTACGGCGTCGATCGAGTCCTTTGTGTCCAGCCTGACCGTCACCGTCCTCTGCGAGCGAAAGTGCGTGGCCGCAGCGTAGGGGATCTGGTCGTCCTGGTCGGCCAGGCGGATTTTGCCCTCAGTCTGTAACTGGTAGACGGCGCCGTCGAGCAGGAGAAGCTCGCCCTCCATGCGCACGAACGTGCCCAGTCCCTGATTGCCCTTTTGCAGGAGTTTGGAGACGGTGATGCCGCTGTCCGAGACACCGGACATGAGGGCACTATGTGTACAGAAGTTGTTTTGTTCGTCAGCCAACGCTGCATCTATCACTGCATCACCGACGCGAGTGTTTTTTTGGGAGGAAATGAAATGAAATGAACGATGCCAATGACAAAGAAAAATAGATTGGGTTTAGAAAATAGTCAATACACTTACTTGACCAGGGAATATTGGTAGATCTCATTGACCGCCATACTTTGCTTCCCTTGCTTTCCAATCGCAATTCTTATCCTCCCTGATGGATGGTGTTGGAATGAATATGCTGGCTTCGTTTCAATGCTGTTTCTCAATCTCTCCTTTTTAAGCGCTTTCCTCGTCCCTGCTAGTCCAATGGGCGACAGCGGCGACGGTAGCACTTCAAATGCCTCAACTTTTTCTGATCTCTCTCTCTCTCTCTTTCTCTCTGCGCTGTTTCTTGCTTTCTTTTCATTCCTTGTCAGGGGCCCAAGCGAGAGTCGGAATCGCAGGCGTCATGTATGTCTGAGGAGAAATGCGTCACTCCGGATACCTTATTGTCTACTGAGGCAATACGGCGAGGACGGATTATCCGGCTGTAAGCGTCTGCCGATTACATCATCCTTGATGCCAATGGACGAGGCTGCTGCCTTTCCTTTAACCGGGTGGAAAGAGTCCAGCTTCATCGCGGAGGGACCGACAGCCCTATATATAGATGCGTGTGTGGGTGTTGATATGTCTTCATGCACAGAAATTCACAGTCTTCTACAGGCCACCCTGCGAGCATCAATACAGAAACATCCCCTGGCACTGCCTTTGGACGAATTTACTCCCTTCTTCCTCTCATCCTCTTCGTTGATTCAAGCCCGAGCCCAAAATGAGTGGTGAGAGCACCGTCGCTCAGATCATCGTCAACAGCCTGTACAATGCGGGCGTCCGCCTGGTGTTTGGGGTGCCGGGCGCCAAAATCGACGCCATCTTCGACGGATTGATGGACCATCCCGAGATCAAGCTCATTGTCGCCCGGCACGAACAAAACGCTGCATTCATGGCCGCCGCCGTGGGGCGTATCACTGGAATCCCAGGAGTCTGCATCGGCACCAGCGGGCCAGGATCGTCGAATCTTGCCACGGGACTCATCACGGCGACGACGGAGAACGATCCTGTGCTGGCCCTGCTGGGCTCGGTGCCACGCCACATGAATCTCAAGCGCACACATCAGAGCATGCGCGCGCTGGATATCCTGGGACCGACGGCCAAAACTGCCGTGGGCATCGACATTGAGGACCAGGCCGCAGAAGCGATCGTCAACGCCTTCCGGTCCGCCAACGCCGCGCCCAAGGGCGCCGCCGTCATCTCCATCCCGCAGGACGTTGCAAAGGGCACATCAAAGATCCTCCCGTTCCCGAGCGACGCGTTCGTGCCGCCCATGTACGGGCCCGCGCCGCTACAGAAGCTCGACCAGGTGGTCCAGATGATCGAGAGTGCCAAACTCCCAGTGCTCTTCCTGGGCATGAGGGCAAGCAGCCCCAAAGTCGTCAGCGCCGTGCGGCGCCTGCTGTCCAAATTCCCCCTCCCGACGGTCGAGACGTTCCAGGCGGCCGGCGCGGTGCCCAAGGAGCTGGTGCATCTGTTCTACGGCCGGGTCGGGCTCTTCCGCAACCAGGTGGGCGACAAGCTGCTGTCCAGATCTGACCTGGTGCTCGCCGTGGGATACGATCCCGTAGAGTACGACGCCAACCTGTGGAACCCGCACGGCACCAAAAAAATCGTGCACATTGACTTCACAGCTTCCGATTATGGGACCTATTATCATCCTGTCGCGGAGCTTCTGGGTTCCGTGGTCGAGAATGTCACATACCTGTCCGATCACCTCTCCAAGATCTCGGACTCAAACACCATCTCGGACCTCTGCCGGGGATTGATCAGGGAGTACACCATGTGGCAGGAAAGGCCCGAGGTGAAGGGCGGATCTTCGTCACCCTCGGGCAAGGTCCATCCTCTGCATTTCATCAGTACCTTGCAGGGATTTGTGTCCAAGGACACAACCATCTGTGTGGACGTTGGCTCAGTGTAAGTCTTGCCTAATCCCGGTCCCCTGGGCCCCTTTTCCCCCCTGTATGCCAACCTGCTGGGAAGGAGACCAATCATGCGTAAAGCTCCATCCAACAACCAATCACACCAGTGTGCTCTGACTGACAGTCATTCTTTTACCTCTACAGGTATATCTACTTCATGCGGTACTTCTTCGCGTACGAGCCGCGTCGATTACTCACGTAAGTCCTTCTGGTCCTTATACCTACATCCCTAACCCCATCCCATCCCCCTTGACCCAAAGCTTCCTCTCTAAAGGCCAAAAAAAAGGTGTACACGCCACCCAACTAACACACTTCATCACCAGCTCCGACGGCCAACAAACCCTTGGCATCGCCCTGCCATGGGCCATCGCCTCCAGCCTCACCCAATCCCCCCCATGTTCCGAAAAGGTCATCTCCATCTCCGGCGACGGGGGCTTCATGTTCTCGTCCCAAGAAATGTCCACCGCGGTCCAGCAGGGCTGCAACATCACGCACTTTATCTGGAACGACGAGGCCTACAACATGGTCGAGTTCCAGGAAGTCATGAAGTACGGGCGCGCTTCCGGCGTCGCGCTCGGCGGTGTCGACTTCGTCAAGTTTGCAGAGAGTTTCGGTGCAAAAGGGTTCCGTATCGAGACGGCGGAGCAGGTCGAGGATGTTCTCCAAAAAGCCCTCGCGTATGAGGGAGTTAGTGTGGTTGACGTTAATATCGATTATTCGGAAAACGCGGAGCTGGCGAAGAATGTTATTGCAGATGAGTGGAATTGAGATCTATTTGTTGGGCTCGTTGATTGATTCATTCGATGCTGAAATGAATTCTTTGGCTAGGGTATAAAGTCATGGGAAGAATCGATGAGCGCTTAGGAATTCCTTATGGGCATGGTCTGTGTTGGTTGGGTAGCATTTCCTTTCATCTCTCTTATGTATTCCCCCTACCTTTCAAAGGGCTCTTCGAAAAATGGCCTTTTGATTCATTCTTCGATTTCGCCAGCAAGCAGGTACACCAGTGCCAAAGACATCTTGAACAAATGAAACCCACGTGCTGGCTTTGGCCACTCATTTCCCAGTCCCAGTCCCAATCCCAGCACCTCCGTGGCAGCGCCACTGCTTGTACACTAGAGCCATCCCGCGTGGTGTCATCTGAAACTCTGTCTTCCAGCCAACGACGTAGCTCTCTTCGCCTTCAGGTTGTGTCCTGACTTTGCCAACCTCTTTTTTCGCGGTGCCGAGATTGTTGGTGTCCAAATCCACAGGCATGGAGGCGTCAACAGGGAACTTCAATCCGACTCCGACAAGATCGCCAGTGACTTGATCAGGCGTGACTAAATTGTGCTGAGGCATCATCTGTGCTTGCTGTGGAGCTCCTGGGGTTGTGGCGGTGGTATTCTTGCCAGACCCGCTGTCTGGCCAGGCACCAACATTGTAACGAACCTGATTGATACGAACGATGATCTCGTTGAGAGCACGTTGCTCGAAGAATCCCAGCTTTGCCAAATCGTAGCGAGCATGGAGAGCCATGAGAAGTTCCTGCATTTTTTGGTCTTGGCTCGTTTCGTAATACTCGCCGGCAAGAGCCTCGAGCTCTGAGCGGGCTGTGCCTGAAATGTCGAGGGCTGACGGAGGGACATGGCAGAGGAAGTCTATGACGTAGGATCGGAAGGCATCGTCTTGCGGGGTTGAGGTGGTGCTGGACATCTTTGATGGGTACCTCCACCAAGTCACCCAGACAGGATTGTATTGTTGGTCATACAGAAAGAGAGGCCCTCAAGGTCGGAAGAGAACTCACGTTTTTGTGATTTGACATATTGGTGTACACATAACTCGCTGAAAAAGGTGGTAGCGTTTCTCTGACTGATTCTCCTCATCCCTGATCCTAAAACGTCGCTGAAGATTGAGAGATGGGCTGAATAGAGCATTAAGTTGCGGAAGGTGCGATGATACAAATTGAATTTTGGCCGACTGGAGATAAAATTGTTCGCATTTACGCCTCACCTGCTGCTGAAAGCAGTGGGATGCGTCTGTAGCGCGAGGTGAATCTGTTGCACGGGCATGAAACATTTTCACCAGCTCAATGATGGACCGTATCAAGAAAGTTCTTTCACTGGACTGGGAAGTGTTGGCCAGGCCTTCCTCAGCAATCCAAGCAGATAGATCATGACTGAGAAGAAGGCAAGATTCAGAGAGGCCTATTCCTCATCAGCGACTTCCTGAGACAAAGGACGCAATTGTCAGAGGATGAAAGTTCTTTCGTTATGAACTCCTCCGATCTTTCTTCGCAGCGCAATTTCAGGCCCAGTCAGACAAGGTACGATGTTGTCCCACTGGAAACAAGCTGGCATTGAGGGTACATTTCAACCTTTTTATCCATTGTCTGTTGTGAGTGACAAGAGAATAGACGCGATGCTCGCGGTTGAAGTTCATGGTGTAACCGGAACGCATTTGCTGCGACCGCGGCGGTAAGTCCTGTGCCTGCCGAGGCATATGAGGATACGAACACCATGCACCGCCTCGGCGATGCTTTTGCCATTGTCACTCGGCAAAAGGAGAAAGAGGCAGGCAGGTCGGATTCGCGAGGAAAAATCCCCCTGATGTGCTTGTGATACTGCCAAGACCAACGTCATCGATATGTTCAGCCTCGTCCACGTTCACGAGGCTGCAAAAGAGCAAAGAATCACTGGACAGTGGCTGATGTATTCTTTGACCTCCAGCAGTCGGTGAGTCATCCTGACAAAAGCGTCAAAGTCCGTTTCTGAGATTCACGCTCGTCAATATGTTATATGAATGTAGGTTGGATAGCGTAGTGCTTGTCCCACAAAGGGTGACGCTTGTTGTTTTGCTCATGGACTTCCCCTTGTTGACCCACCGCTGCTAGCATATGTTGTGAATCGCGCATATCGAGGCTGGTCAGGAGACCTGATGATCTCAATATCAGGCAAGATCCCGGTTGGCTTGTGAAGTGTACCGGATTCCAGCCGCAAGCCCTGGCTGTCGTACTGCGGGTCAATCTTGACATGGACAAAACCCTGTCACTTCGTCAGGATCCGACAAGGCAACCAAATTGGCATGACCGGGATGCTGATGCTTGGGGCTCTTGTCACTGATCGAATACCAGAGGGCAGCATATATCATCCGAAACTGGACTGACATTGTCTTGGCGAGCTGGAGGTCTTCGCTCGCGGGTTTCTCTTCGTTGAATCCACGGATATAATGGCAAACTAGTCCGTACCACTGCCGCATTAGGTTGTGGAGCTGGTGGAAGCTAGAACAATCACTGGTCCATTCTCTGTGGCAGAGGGAATATATGAACCGCCAGCGAATGATCTTGAAGAACTTTCGTTGCATTTGAGCAGGACTCTGGAATGCTTCTAGTATATGTGGTATGCTCTGGTCAAAGAGAACATTCGGATCTCCACCAGGAAGGACGATGAGAGTTCTGAAGATGGAAACAACTGTCTCCACCTGTAGAGCTATGGAGTACATGGATCTGGCAGCAGAGGTCCTCATGGTATTAGGGTCGTTCATGATGCGAAAAGCAGCGGCGAGATGTGACAACCCCCCATAACACTCGGTATGTGGATCCAGATATTCGTAAACTGCTATCAAGATGCAACACAGAAGCACCGTGTCCACACAAATTGCCACCTTTTCTCGAGTGAGCCAGGACAAAGCTAGGAGATATTGTCCCGATGCAAAGGAGGGCTCGTCCGGAGCCAGGTTAGACGTGCACTTATGCCTGCCGGCGAGGGCGACTGCGAGGTGACGAACCCCCGGTATCGACGTCGCGCATTGTCGGACATGACGGAACCAAAAGTCCTGGGCGCTGCCTGCAAACGTCCATTCTGCCATGGCGGGCGTGGTAACTTCACAGAAGTACTGAAAAGCCCATGTCCCAAAATCTATACATTGTTCCATTGAGATTTCCTTCTGCAGGTGGACGAAATTGGCAGACATATCTGACGCCTTGGTTCCAGAGGGTTCGAAAATCCTAGCTTTGCGGACAATGTAGCCGTCGCGCCGACGGCAGCTGCGCCTGCATCTCAGGCAATTCGGCTTGGTCTTGTCGCATTTCAAGTGTCATCGTTTACAGGTGAGACAACAAGTGACGACTTTGGGATGATATGCTCGTCTGCTGAGAAAATTTTTGCGATTGCTGGGACCTGGAGGAACTGGACCACTGTTCAGTAAATATGGTGACAAGAGCACAATTTCCGGGTCTTGCACTGGGTGATTGTGCTCGATGGTTTGCTGTTCCTCGATGTTCAAGCGTCGATCTTTGCATCTGGGCGCCATTGTTAGCACTTCTCAACTGAGAGATATCATCGATTCTATATTGTTAACACCAAGAATCGGCTTCCACTATTATGAGAATCGCGTCGACGAGTGGCTCGCCTTATAAATTCCATAGGGCTGAGAAATGTGACGCAAATCGCGAGCTGGGAGGCCTAAGCGACTGAGGATGTATCGAGTACCTACTCAGTAGAGCATATACAGACTGACATACAGAGGCTGGGGTGCAAACCACTGGAGCAAGAGCACCTTGCGTCAAGAATCAAGACTTCTAAACGAGCCGATAGCAACTCGCTTCAATTCTAGGGAGTTTCGGCCCCTGGCGTCATGCTGGTGATTCTGTGGAGCCCCTTCAGAGGGGGCGTAGGCTGCTCATTCCCAGGTGGCGTGGAATTGTGGGCTTCGCAAGCCAACATCGCGAGTGGCAGCAGGAAAGTCGCAAGGACCCGGGGGGGTTCTCCCTTGGCCCAATAGGCGAGATCGAAATCAGGGAGTGGTTGCCTTACCTATGCATCTGTTTTTGATGCTACAACCCAGCAAGGGCATTCGTTTCCTTGCTTCCGTTCTGCTCTTCAGAACCAATATGTAATAGACAGTGGTATCCACCACTTGTCGATGTTTGTCATTGCTGCGAAGACGCTCGCCGGGAAGATTACCATGATTGAACAGTCGGATCTCTTTGAGTTTGTCAAGAATTTCCCAGGGGAGCACCAATAGCACATACTCAGACCCGACACCCAATTTACTTGTTCCCGCAAGCAAACAGGCGTTCCATGTTCAACAGCCGTGACTGCAACATACCGATGCCGATCCGGATATCAATGTGCCAGCTCAACCACATGGTATCGGGCGACAACCTCCCCCGACAAGGGGAGAAAAGGTAGCCACAGCCTCGTGGCACATGAGCTCATCCAGGTTTAGGCCAGCCTCGCCCACGTCGCTGAACAACGTAAAAGTAGCAACCGACTGATAGCTTGCCCACTGCCATCAACTACTACATATGTAGGTGCTCATCTGGTCGTTCATCGCCATGACGACCAGTTTCCTGATCCCAACCCCGCATTTCCACATCGACCTCGCCGCTCTCGATGCGCTCCACCCGTGCGTCTCTCCCGTATTGCAGGACCTTCGAGAACTCCGACTCTCCCTGGGTCATTTGTTTCATGCTAACGACAGATCAGGGTTCACTACAGCCGCCGCCTTCTCATCTTTCGCTGTGCTTCCCTCGCTCAGCGAGATGCTCAACTGGCTGCCTTGAGGGTGGGTTTACAAGCCCTTGGCTTGCGTTGTGCCATCTTGGGTGGTGTCGTCGCGCCGCTACCGTCTGCAGAGATCGATACCACTAATGTCAATCCGGACTGGCGCACAATTCTCCCTGGCCATGGAATTGAGCTGGTAATAAAGGACCTGCGGGCTACATTGCCTTCTTTCGGAGAGCTTGAATCCTCTGGGTTCCCGGTTGCCCGACTTCCCTATGATGTGCTTGTGCCTGTTCCTCAGGATATTGGCAATGACCGCCCCTTTGCTGCATGCAAGATCCAGTTCAGCACAATTGAAGGTGGTACTATCCTTACGTGGGCCATGTCACATTGCGTGGCAGATGGGAGTGGGAACAATGAGCTGATGCGAATGCTGAGTGAAGCAACGAAGATCGCGCAGGAGCGGACTACGGACAATGTACTGGCCCTGGCTGCCGCCTCAACACAATTGGGCCTGGACCGCAGCTTCATGCGGAACGTGTCCAGTGAGATCCCGTTCAAGATAGAAGACCATCCCGGATATATGACGAATGCGCCAACGCAGCCCCCTAGCCACCCGTTCGAGGCAACATCGGCAGAGGTACCAGTCAGCTTCTATATCCCCGCGACTGGTGTGGCACAGCTGAAAGCAGATGCAACACAGCCTGCCGCACCACCGATTTCCACACACGATGCAATCTGCGCCCTCATATGGCGAAGTCTCATCCTCGTACGCAGAGAACGCTCTGCCGCTGCAAGGGCCCTCCCCGGGTCCACCAAGACCAACCTTTTCATGCCCTCGGACGCCCGCCGTCACCTCGACCTCCCGCAATCGTACATCGGCAATGCCGTCTACCAACTCTCCGTCTCACTCGACCTGGGCAAGCTCCTCGACCCACGCTCCGGCCTGCAGGAAGCTGCCGGGGCGGTCCGCCGTGCTATCACGGCCGTCAATCCCACTCTCGTGCGAAGCATCATGGCTGAGACGAACAAGAGGTGGGTGGACTGGGCGTTTCTGGGCAGTTACTCGTCGACTGGAGTGGCCATGGGGACGGATTGGACGAGCTCACCGCTGTATGACCAGGACTGGGGGACGGTATTCGGTGGAGTCCCAGCTACTTACAGATACCCAGGTGAGCCGGGGTTCAATTGTGTCATGCCCAAGCTACCAGATGGAGCGGCAGAGGTGATAGTGAGCGTCATGAAGAACGAAGTGGACAAGTTGAGCAGCGAAGATTGTTTCGGGAAGTATATCGAGCGGCAGTAGCTGACGACTTGGTTTCACACAGAGAGATGGTATAAAATCTTCTCGAGGGACAAGGTAATGCCCGGCAGAATGATAATATGTCGTTGGCCTCAGTTTCCTTCACCCCTCCTTCATTACATATCTTTCCTGTTTTCTCGCCAGGTATTGATCAACCCCAGGTGCGGACCATACACCAAGCTGAGGCCGAGTCTCGCCGCCACTATCGGAAAGGAAAATGTCTGGCTTCACAAACTGAACATCTTCATAATTGTTTATATTAGGCCATGTCTGCGTACCGATCATGTGCCCTTTATACGAGGGCTTTGGTTTCAGTCAGTGTAGTGGAACATATTGTCACCCTTGTGAAGGCTTCTGCCTGAGAATCTCGCTCTGGTGGTTGCAGGGCCGAGGCGGACGAGAATGGAGCAGGTTGGGACCGTTTTCACTCCTTTCACAAATCCAAGCACCAAGTTTCGATCGCCGGAGTTTCGACTAACACTTGCAAATCAATCTTTCCCGATGTTGTAGAAAATGGAGATCACTTGGGGATTGTGCTGACCTTTTGTCAACGGCATCTTGTCAGAACTTGGCCAAAGGAGAGTTTCTTCCTTGCGGATATATTTAACGATACGGGAACTCTGGTGTCTGCGTATGTGGAGGACATCTACGCTCATCTGGAGCAACCTGAAATGGAGGTTCCTGCGGAGTCTAGTGAAATGTGAATAGAGGCAAGGTACGACAGCTGACGCATGGAAAGTCTGGGTGAGGTTCGACTCTCAGCTTCCTCCCTTGGAGGAATTTGCCGGTTCTGTTGGTTTTGTCTACCCTCAAGGACTTGAAAAGTTCGAAGATTCCTTTGGAAGATCTGGCGCGGCTCTTAGTCTCTCGCCAAAAAAAAAAAGCTGTAGCACTGGTCGTCTCTAGCACCGTGTCTGTCGCCGTCAGTTAAGTAGCGAAAAGCAGGTTGATAAGGGTGGATAACGGAGCAAATGATACATGCAACGTATGCAAGGAGCTCCCGAAGAAGGCCTAGGTAACCGCACCTATTGCCGTTTTGCGCTGTTCGTTGTCATCGCTGTGCGTCAGGTCGGGTCGCCGAATGCATATCACTGGCCACTGGCCGGTCAAACACCTCCCCATTTAATTCTCATACTAATCTGTCATGTGCCGTCACAGCGCCTGCTGATATCAAGTCAGCTATGCATGGCAAAGGTATGAAGCATAGGAGAGGATCCGCAAAAGGACTTATCACGTGAAGTCGAAGGGCTTGGCCTGGGCAATAAAATGCCATTAATTCAAAGCTCATATGCACTCTCCATTGGCAATGTTATTGCCATGTTCAATTGCCATCGCCGGACGCCAGCTCGCTAAATGTATCACTATTCATTCATAACACGCCATAGACAATGTCATATCGCCATATCATAGCTACCCAGGTACCCTCTCATTCCCACGCAAACTCCTAAGAAACATGCTGTTGGACAGCCTCCTTTGGAATGACGCCCTGCGCCACAAAGATGTCAATGAGCCCCTGCAATGGCTCCATGTCCTTCCTGCTGATCAAGTCGTAGTACATAGCGACAGTGCAGAAGTGGACGAAGCAGCTGTTCAACTCTGCATGGCGGCCAATATGCCAGAAGGGGTCGGTGAAGTGACAATGATATAAGTGCGCGTAGCAGCGGAACATTTGCTTGATGATGGCCTTGACGTCGGAATGGAAGTGCTGAGGGAAGCCCGATGATTTGCCGATCCATTCGTCCTGAATGCCTGCGAGGGTACTCAAAGGTTGATTGAGGTTGGTTGGGGGTGCGGCAATTGGCGTGGCTGTTGAGGGTGTAGCGGCGCCGGTGTCACCCGACATGTACGAGGTTTGGTCAACGGTCGGCGGAGGTGCAGTAGGGAAGGTCTTCTCATCATGAATTTTTCCAACGATCCAGCGCTGAACTCGGACGATGTATTGGGGGGCGGGAATCTTGGCCGGTCGACCATTTTCGAGCCAGGTGTAAGTGAGGCTAGAAGGGTCAATCAGTAAACGTTCACTGCGTAGGGAGAGATTGAACATACCGCCCAGCAGACATTGTAGGACATTGCTGCTCATTGCAAAGAGGGAGACCAGTGTTGGTGTCAACCTCCTGAATGACTTGGATCATACCTGTGAGAAGTCGGTTCATCTCGACCACTGTAGGGGATGAGCTTCACTTCACCAAAACTGTAGAAGTCGCATCTCAACTCACATTGATGGGCTAGCCATTCGCCAAGTTCGACGTTCTTTGGTTGTGCAGCAAGAGTGAGGAAGTTTCCCTTGACAGAGCACTTCGCGTATTTCTCGTTGAGGAATTTCTTGGGTTCTTGTTCCACATAGCCACTCTGCTCGCTGAAGGTCGATGAGATGGAGGGGGAGTTCGTGAGAGAGGGAAGGGGAGGGGCTTGTTGTGAGATTGGAGATTGAGATTGCCCGTTGTTGTACTGCGCCTTGAGGTTTTGGTTGGATTTGGTGTTGGCTCGAGTGAAACCTTGACGACTACGAGAAGGGTCAGCAACCGTGGCATGTTTTGTTGGACTGATGGGTCGCTTGAGGCCTCTCAAAGAGATCTTCCATTTGAATTTGCCCATTTCGAGTGTGTAGAGTAGCGAGTATCAGATGAAGACAGTGCGTGTCGGCGGTGAAAGTGGGAGAAGTGTGAAAATCGAGGTGAGTTGAGGACGGCGGGGCAAACTTACACGCTCTGAAAGAAGGTCGCCATGACGGTGAGGTTGACCCGCACAGGGTCGGGCAAGGCACTCGATTGTTCACAACACAATTTCTTGTCGTCGACGTGGTGAAAGTGGTGAAAAGGAGGTAACCAGTTTCACTCAATCGACGGTGAGGAGAACGAGTCTCTCATTGAAACAAATAACTCCTTATATCGCAACTCAGCCGAGAGAGGGGCACGTGAGTATGACGCTAGCCGTTTTGGTAATCTCGACTCGCAGCCTCAAACGTCGCAGTCTCGAACTGCGGACCGGTCGCCAGCGGCCCATTCACACTGCTAGTTTCGTTTTCTCACATTCAACGTGAATATCTCAGATGGCAAACTACATATCGTCTTAATATCTTCGGTCTCTCTTTATGAGATGTCCCCGCATCCTACCTAGGCCTTCCGCAGCTCCTCTCAGCGCGGCCTTCTGTGTTCGTTGCGCTCGAAATCCTACATCCCTCAACTAGCAGCCAGGATGTCTGCTGAGGTTGAGTCTGCTCCCCACAGCAGCATTCTCGAGGATGATGAAGTTCCACAAGATCTGAATGGCGACATCGCGTCTGATAACGACGGAGATCTGTTCGGAGACGAGGATGAAGAGGTAGAAGAGCGGAATGAGTAAGAGCCCTGTGTATGGACTCTCCGATCTGTCACTGACCTGCTGTAGCCTCCGCAGAAAACTAGACGACTCCGAGCTCGATTCTGGCGATGATGAAGGCCGAAACGATCGTTTAGCCGCCACTGTGGAAGACGAGGAGGCCCTCTATGAAGAGCAGAAACAACTCAAACTTCTTGACGTGGATATTGCACGAGTCAAACCGCCCGAAGGCGACGAACTATACCTCCTGAACATTCCAAACTTCCTGGGTATCAAGCACAAAAATTTTGACTACTCAAGCTATGAAGTGCCCACCAGACCCCACGACGGCCGCGATCCTGCAGCAGACTCTACTGTCAAATTCTCCCCGTTCTCGACAGCCAACACCTCCCTCTTCTGGCGCCGCGATCCGAAGAATCCTGAACTTATACAATCCAACTCGCGCATAGTTCGCTGGTCGGACGGCAGCTTTACTCTACAGATCGCCTCTAAACCTCAGGACCATTACCGTATCTCCACTACCGCCATGCGACAAGGTTGGCCTAAGAAGCTCTCTGGTTCGCAACACCAAGACTACGACCCGACAAAGGAAACAAACCATTTCCTCGCCGCGCCTCACGCTGCCGCAGGGATCGACCTTCAAATCGTTGCGCCTTTCGACGCGTCCATGAAGATCCAACCAACGGGCGACCAAGCGGACGAGGCCGAACTGAAACTGCGACAGTCTATCGCCGCCACCACTCAAATGCACGAATCGCCGACCACCTTTAAGTCCGTCAAAGAAGACCCAGAACTCGCCAAGAAGGCTGCCGAAATGTTCGAAAAGGAGCGTGCTCGGGCGGACCGTCGCAGAGAGGCCGCTCAAGATCGGCAGTTTATGCGCAGGGACCGCGTCTTGGGGAAATCTGGGCTCGGCCGTTCTATCGGCGGTGCGGGTCTCTCCATTGCCGGGTTGGAGGATGATGACGGGATGCCGACAGCAAGGGGAAAGAAGGCGACAGCCAAGCGACGCAGGACGAATCGGCGTGGGGATATCTACTCGGACGATGAAGATGAGGAAACATTCCGCCGGAGAGGCAGGGAAGACGAATATGATCGTGAAGATGATTTCCTGGCCGCGAGTGATGAAGAACCCGAGATTTACGAAGACGAAGGAGAGGAGGAAGTTGAAGCTGAAGAAGATGAGGATGTTGATGACTTAGAGATCGAAGGACGTCAGACCGTGATTGAAAACCGCACTCGTGGGGGAGCTAGAGACCGAGACCGGGAAAGAACGCCCAAGCGTGCTCTGCGGGATGAAGGCGAAGACACCCAGGGCGAAGAGGACGGCGAGGCTGGGGAAAGCCGAAGACCCGTAGGAAGTCCTGCGGCCCGCAAGAAGCGGAGAGTTATTGACGACGACGAAGACGAGGAATAATCCCCTCCGTGGTCTTGGTCGTACATCTTGTTGTCCTTCCGGCTATCGGCATTATCAGTATTGCCGCGACCTCACAATGGATGGTGCCAGTGACACTGTCGATGTTGCGAATGCATCTTCGTGGCATAGATGAGGCATTGAGCTGGCTTCGGTGTCGGAGGCGCAGTTGCATTTGCAAAAACACCGCATTGCACTCGTCCAGCGGGAAAGAGGACATAGTGATAGGACATGGCGAAAACAAGCGAAACAAATAGTCGAGAGCCAACATCTTTCTTACTTCTCATATCGTTTTCTATCTTCTCTCTGTTTTCTGACCTCCTTTTCCCTCTTCTCTTATCTGAGATGCCTCCTCCCTCCTCTCTCTTCTCTTCGCTCATCGATAAAGGTCATTCTTGTGTATTTTCTTCTCGTCTTCGTAATAACACTTTTAGGACTAACAGTACATGAGAGACAGCGAGCCGACATTGACCATACAGCTTGTGGCTCGAACGTGTAAACGTGTTGGCTTGCTGCAGTATCAAAATCCCCCACAGAGAGCTGTTCTATATATAGCTCTAATACTAGCATGCCTTCCCCAGGGGTATATCGTACAACACGAAATTGAAAACCCATTTCTGGAACGGAATCGGCTTTCCTTGCTGACCACGGTATTGATGGTCAGAGATCTCAACAGAGACATCACACAAACTTATCAACCGACCTCCTCGGAATGTATAGAAACGCTCCTCCAGCCATCCTTTTTATTCTTCACACGTTTTTCATGAGCATCTTCATCTTCTTAAGAAAGCAGATTCTTCACACTCGGGCTAGCACTCGCCCCTAACCCATCTTTCCTATCGTCTCTGTTGAAGGCCGGCCCCGCAGAGGGGGTAAGTGGCCTCTGCTGAGGACTCCCTGTGACTGGTCTGGGCCCAAATCGCGGAGTGCCGGTCATCTCAACACTCGCTTGCCTGGAATGCGGTCTTCCCACGCCCTGCTCGCCGGCCACTTGAGCTATTTGCGCCAAGGACTGTGCTGATGGAGATTGCCTCATGGCTGCCGGAGCCGGGGGAGGTGGTGGAAGTGGTGGAGGGCCTTGAGGATACATTCTCGAAGGAGTAGGATGCGGCGCCGCATAACCATTCACAGGAGAATCGAGGCTTCCTTGACGGGGTGGTTCAGGATATCCCCGCGACAAGAGACTTGATGGCCCTAGTCCAAGATGAGGCGATGGGACTGGAGGGCGGTCAGGACCGTATCGGGGGGGCGATGGGGGGCGCGTGACTTGCGGTGGAGCGGCAGACGATGGAATAGCATGATGAGGATGATGAGGATGATGAGGAGGAGGAGGAGGAGCAGGGGGAGGATGATGTCCATAAGCAGCTGGAGGAGGGGGGGAATGTTGAGGCACCAGACCAGGACCGGGTGGCGGAGGCGGCACGCTCGCATATGGCGAAGGATGCCCCGGACGGCCGTAGGGTGATTGACTGTACTCCGGGGGGGGCGGGGGTGGTAGTGGTTGCGGAAGTGGAGGAGGCGGGCGGTACAGAGGCTGTCCGTAAAGTGGCGGAGCTGGGGGAGAAGTGTGACGCGCTGCTCGGGTTCCAGGAGAAGACCATTGAGGAGGGGGGCCACCCTGCCAAGGGGAATAATGAGACGCGGGAGCTGGAAGCGCATGAGGATGTGAATGCGGTGGCCCTTCAATTGGCGGTCGGTTCATTGCATAGACATTGGGCGGTGGAGGAGGGAAAGGTGGTGGGTGGTTATATGGCTCTTGGGGCTGGTCCAACGATACAGGTTTCTCACGAGGCTTCACTTGTGATGGCGATGATGGGGGTGTTCGCTTTAGAACATGACATTTGTGGCACTGATACATGATGCATCGGTCTTTGCCGCCAGCGATTGTTGCAAGACCCGTGCCGTCGGCTGGTTCGGCGTCGACGGAGCCATTGGTCATAACAGTATCCCGTGAACCATTAACTTGAACCAGGTCTGCAGCTGATTCCATCACTGTTCCGTTCGGAGCTGGAGATCGTTCTTGCTGAAGAGGCCACCATCTGGGACTAACATCCACAAGACAAGTACAGCACTTTTTCTGACCACCGCTTCGTCTCTTGGAGCTTTCGTTTGCTTCGGTCGTGGCCGTGTCTGAGTCCAATGATGATTCTGCTGCTGCGGTGGCTGCTGCGGGAGATCCCCGAAGACTTGTTCCGCCGTTTCTCTCGCTGTGAGTGACGGCGCCGTTTGGCCCACCGTTGACGGTACTTCCACGTCGTTGAGGTGGTTGAACTGCTGGTGCAGAGCTTACAAAATTGGTGGCAAACTGCGCAGCTCGCCGGACGGTACCCGTAACAGAGTTGTCTACCTGCTTGTAATTGCGAGCGAACAATTGCATGGCCGTGAGCCCTGTGTCCGTCATTTCGAGCATCTTGTGTACCCAAGTTGCAGGCACATGCGACGGGCACCAGATCGCTGCGGTGACAATGCCAGTTTCTGTGCCGAGTTTCATGACATTGGTTGTGTCGCGCCTACTGCTCTTGACCGGCGCCACATCGAAGCCAAAAGTGTATTGGTTTTGATGTGCACAGCCAACGTGGAAATTGTTGTTGCACGTCGCAAAGTGACATTTGACCGTAGGCAGTCCCGTCATTTTGCATATCACGCAGACCGGCTCAAAGCGCTCCGGGGGGATGAAACCCACACCTTCGGCATCATCAAGCAATTCCGAGTTGCCAAACTTGATCTCTTTGGTCCAAAGAGCACAAGTAATGTGGATCCAGTTGTTCCAGGCCGTCCTTTTGAGAGCTTCACGAGGGTTGACAGGACGACCGGCCGCTTCTTGTTCCATACGCCATCTGCGACCAGCTTCTTCTATAATCTCCTTTTCGATGCGTTCCTTTTCGCGTTCTCGATCGGTTCTCTTCTTATGGCTTGGTTTTAGAGGCTCCATCAGATCTTGAGGCGTAAGCTTGACAGGACACAGAACGCATTCATAGGTCGTGGAGACTTGGAGGTTGTGGTCGTTTCTGCACATATCACAGAACCATGGTTTGGTGTTTGTCTTCTTCCCCACACCATAGCATGCGCCATGTACATGAAGCCTGCAGTCGCGGCACTTTAGCAATTCCAGGCCAGGAGCTTCGATCACCCGGCACACGGCACAGGGGTGGACCTTGACCCTAGGGGGATCCGGCTCGATCGGAGCAGGTTCCGGCGGTTTCTCGGGCGCGGCCTTCTTCTTTTCTGAGACAACATCTGGAGTTGACTGTGTGGTATCTTTGTCGAGTTTGCCCTTCTTCTTAGGAGGTTCTTCGGGTTGAATGATGTTTTGGGGCACTTCCAGGCCGGCCTTATTGACCTCATCGACAGCCCGCGGAGGGATGGGATCCCCTGACATCTGGTGCGCTTCAAGAATGAGACGTAGGAGTTCTTCATCGACTTTCCGTTTTGCCGCCCTGCTTCCCGAGGATGCAATTTTCTTTGAGATTTCTTCAATATCCTCGTACTGGACGGCGTATTTGCGCCAGAGATAGGCACATCGACCGCAAAGTGCCAGAGTGAGCCAGCCGCTCTTGTCTTTGCTGTTTTTTGCAGATGGATCTTTGGGTACTAGTGTGCCGGGTGGCGTCCCCGGCGCACGTCGCCATTGTCTAGAATGGTGTGTCCCACAGAATTTGCAAACAAATCCTCGTTTCTTCTGCGCAGCCTTTTCATCGTCAAAGGCAGAGTCATCCTGGTCGTCGGCGACGTCGTCCAGGAGTTTGGGCGCGTTGTTGCCCTCCTTGTCCGCTCGTTTAGATTCCTTCTTCGAACGTCGGCCCTCGAAATTGCCCCAGATCTGTCGACCCCTGTCCGTCTTCTTCCACATATAGTAGAATCGAACAATCCGGGATTCCTTGACACTCCCAACATGGCGAGTTACAGCATGTAGCTCACTTCCATATTTGGCTACACCTTCCTCGAAACGCTTAATTTCGTCACGGGTGAGCTCTGGCTGTTTCAAGTCACTCTTCAGGCTGAGTTCCGTCATAGCCTTCAATGCTTTCTCGACATTGTAGTCGTGCTCATGCAGCTTTTCGATTGCCTTGGTGAGAAAGTCCACAGAAGAGTCGAGCAAATTATATTTGGCAGCAATTGGTTTGACCCTCGTCATGTATTCGTCAACCAAGCGCTCCGGATCGAGCGGTCCCCCCGCGTCATCACCGCCTCTCCCCGAGAGTTGTCCTGGTTCCGGCATCTTGAATAGCAGTTGAGCAGTATGTTCTTTTTTGCCCTTGATTTCGATCGGCTCATCCTGCCCTCGAGGGACGTAGCCAACTGGTTCGTCAATTACCCATTTGGGGCGTTTTAGCTTCTGATCTTTGTCGGTATCCGTGCCAGTATCTTTGGAGCCTTTACTACCTTTGATGTGATGGGCATTTTTCAAGTATTTTCGCTTGATCTCGGCCGGCTTGACCAATTCAACAGGGCGGCCGTGCCACACATTGACGTTCGCCTGATGGCGAGGACCCAACCTGGAACTTGCTCGGGGGTATATACGGTCGTCGTAGTCTAGCGCATCTTCAACGCGTGAGTGAACCCCCAGGTACCGCCACGGCCACAGATTGGCCTGGGCAATCTGTTCCTTGGTGGGCACTGGATGAGGCTCGGGTGCGATGCTGCTTTCACGGGTGTCCCGGCTCTTGGGTTGATTGTCGTCTTCGTCCTCATCCATCGGATCGTCGTCGTCCCCATGCCCAATGTCTGAGCCTGCGGGCGTATTTCGAGCATCCATTTTTATTTCCTGCGCCCGACTACAATGAGCACATGCCCAAGCGAACCCTCGAGCCGGCTTTTTCAGTAGCGGGGGTCGGACGCACTGCATGTGATATGTCCGCTTGCAAACTGCGCAATCGACCGAGTCGTGATTACTGGCAAACTGTTCACACTTTGTACACTTTTTGCTCTCGCTGGTCAGCTCACGACCGCGGCCAATCTCCACCAGGACGAATTTCCAGCGCTGATCCAGGACGGCCTTGACA